GCAGGACTACTCTTGATTTTTGAAACTTTTAAACAAGGTGAAGGCACCTAGAACATAATCGCAGGCCATAAAGTATAAGGATAATTTCTGTATTCTGCTACTGAACAGGTGTAAGTCATTGAAGATAACTGTCTAGTAATGGGTAGTTGTATTGAAAAGTGCCCTGGAATTGTACGAAGAAATCACCAGAGAGGCAGGATAAGAATACAATAGAATATTAGAGTAGGAATGGGAAACACAAGTAGGGGATGTATTGGATAAGAAAGGAAGAGACAGGTAGGTAAGAAAAAAAGGAGAATGGGCAGAGAAAATTCTGGGCTGATTGGATGCAGTCTATGTCCCCAGTAAGGGTTGGGGTTTAACTGCAAGTTCCGGTGGGAGGAGATTCACTGAATCCAGGAAGAGAATCCTGTAAAAGGTACTATTAGTAGTTGTTATGACATGTTTGTATTTATCAGAATATAGGAAAAATGCCCATGCTGACCATGTAGATAAGAAATCAGAAACTGAGCTATGTCTCTGGCTTCTTTCATCTTATAAATGGAATTATTTTGTTGATCCATACTAGTAAAGAAGGTGGAGTTTGAGACTTCCAGTGAAGTTGGATGAGTGTCTTAGCATCACTTATTAAGTGTTAAAATAGAGAATGTTTTTATATTAAAGGCAGGCCGTAGGCCATACATTACACATTTGTATTTGTTTAACTACAGGATTGAACAAAACAAAAGTGTCAGTTTCCCCATCCACACATTCAATGTGGATGTGGGAATCATTTCCACTGTGTTCTGACAGTAAGGAGCCTTCTTCACCCTCAGAACCCAATTATATGAGTTGTCAGCTATAAAAAAACAACAGGGTGGTTGTACAAATGTTATTTGATAGATCAACTCCTATACAACCAGTGTTCATACATAGATCAAAATTCAGCCGCTCCCTCCTGAGCTGGTAAAATTTTGAATGATGTATGTCCGGATTAAGTGTAGATCAGGGGCGGACTGACCATTTGGAAACTCAGACACTGCCTGAGGGCCCGGGGTCAGTAGGGGGCCCCATTAGATGCCCCTGGTACCTTTTTCATAGGCTTTTTTTGAGTTTGGGCAAGGACACAGGGGCCCCATGATCTCCTATTGCCCGGGGGCCCCATGAGTTGTCAGTCTGCCCCTGGTGTAGATTGAGCATTCAAGTGTAGAATACATAGTCCTGGATTTAGTTGCATGTCAGAGGCTAGGATTTTGGTAAGTGTTTATGATATAGAGTCCCAAAAGGGCTTTATTTGTTTGCATTCCCACCAGATATAGAAAATAGTTTCTCCTATAGACAGCTCCAGCATGTGGCTGATGCAGAAGGATATACTGTAACCTATTTTTTTTTTCAGAGATAAGTTACCAATGGAACAGTAATTTATAGGATGTTTCTTGGATTTTGATACTAATGTAGTATTGTTGGTCAGCTGATAATCCAAGCACCATTGTAGTTTCGTAAATTTGCAGCCTAGCAATTGCTTCCATATAATGAGAAAATATGACAGAGGCTGATTATGCGCTTATAATGATTTTGGCTAAATTGATGCTGGTTTGAAGCCAAAGGGTAGTCATATCAAATTTTGATTTGATTTGGATTTCTATTCACTTTCCATTTTGTTAATTGATAAAAAATAATCTATTAATGCTTCTATTTCTGAAAATATTCTTACTTTACAGCACTTTTTCTCACCTACCTATATCTTTTGCAAAGTATTGTATATCCTGCATCAATCACGTCATAAAGTGATGCAGAGCCACAATGCCCCGACCAGTCATAAGAAAAACAAAACATCAGCTTTTGACATATCCAAACCCACTGACTGGCTGCCAAATTTCAGGTCCAGCAGATGATGGCTGTTATGTACAAGGGAGTTGGTCTCCCAGGTGATGTCATTGACCATATACAGACATATTTGTTTAATGACATCACTTTGTGAATATATCATCATTAATGCAAATGTAAAGAATCATGTTTGTAACACACTATGTGTGAAATGTCAGTTTCTATTTGTTGCCTTTTGCCAAGTGAATGTAACGTTCCCTAACATTCAATTCTAAGAAAAAAAAATAGCCAAAAGAACATTTGACCTTAGGAGTTAAAGAGCATTCACCTTAGGAGTTAAAGAGCATTCAATAGAAAAAAAACCTCTAACACTAAAGGCTAAGAACATTTGAACAGCAGGGGAAATATTATGAGGGAGACCTCACCACTGTGAGCTAAAGGTTTGGAGATTCCTGTGCAAATGGAACTAGAAATAACTTTGCTGAAACTGACTATTATTGTCTTCAAAGCACCTATGTATTGTATTGGAGGTGTCTGATTCACTAAGAAGTCTGGCTAGAAATGTTCTACTTTTATCAACATGTTCATCAAAGAATTTTGTAGATTCTGGAAGGATATCAAATCATTGCAAACATATGATTAATGAATCCTGGAGGAAATCACAGTTTAAATGCATAGAGACTTTGTACCTTTCCTTCCTACTAAACCAGCTGCCGAAGCAGCTTCTTGCCACAGTGTGGTCAGCCTGAGCCATTTGGTTCATCGTTTCTGGATGTGACCGTTGTGACAGTGTGGTGATCTGTCACCCTGGATTCTCAACAAGGCAGGTTGAGGGGCTCCAGGGTAAAGGTTTGATATGGAGGAAAGTGGCTTTTCACTTTCCTCCTTTGTTTGTAAGGTCCATTTTGGGAGCTGGAGCCTGGAGATTTCGAAGCGATTTGGGAGGGATGAAATCTCCAATCCTGGGACCAGGTTTTGGGAATGGCCAGGAGACTGATTGCACAGGTGTGTGCAGGCCTTTAGATAGAGTCAGGACCAGAGTTCTGGGCTCCACCCCGGCAGATAGGAGTCAGCAGGGCTCCACCCCGGCAGATAGGAGTCAAGAGGACTCCACCTGGAAGACAGGAGTCAGGTGGGCTTCACCTAGGAGAGGTGGAAGCCAAAAGCAGCAAGGGGCTGCTAGAGACTAGCTGTGTGCTAGTGGCCATAATTCTTGAAGAAGTCTGCAGGAGACAGACATCAAGCTGAGTGTAAGCCAGGAGGCTGAATCATTGTTTTGTTTGATGGTGGATACCCCTGTGTGGGAAACTTCTGTTTTGAACTTTCGTTTAAATAAAAGTGGGCTAAAAAGGCCCTGAAAAGAAAGCGAGTAGCTGTGTGCGTTTAAAAGCTCTACCACGTTGAAGCGAGTTCCCACACCGTCAACAGCTGTTTTTGGGACCAACTACTTAATTTGCTGTATATCCAAGGAATCACAGGGACATAGATACCTTAAGCACTTCTCCTATGTATTTTCAGCTACCATAAAAGCACTTCTCCTCTTTCAGTTGGTTGAGGAATAGTGATATCCGGATGTACTCACTTATGCCTGCTAGCTGCTCGAAGATCATTCGTTTGGGCAACTTCCTCAGCCCCCACAATAGGCATGATTAAAAGGAATATCATCGATTTGTTCTATAAGGAGATGTTAGACATAGAGCTCCAAAATTATTCAACTATACACGTGTAGATGTTCGGATGAGAACATTCGTACGAAAAAGCGCACAAAAATTCTTTGAACATTCGGTGAATGGAGGAATGCCTTTCAAAAATTGTCTGTTGCTTTTAACATTCGAGTTTAAAATTAATGTAATTTCTGAACGATAACCACATGTACTGACCGAAAATCCATTTGGTCAAGAAAAGTTTTCCTTCCTGCCCCTTTAAATTTTCCCGTCACTGCAGTCGAAAACAAACATCGATTTGACCCCACTAACAATTAGAAAAACAAACAAATATTCTTGAAACAAAAACTCTCAAACTAAAATCTATACATGTATGGTCAGCTTAAGAAATTCTTTAGACACTGGAGAGTTTTCATTCAGCTCACCCTTTCACCGCCTGAACTAGCAACTTTGATGTCATCTTTCCAATTTATTGAGCGGTATCTTAAAGCTGGACTTTCCAACTCCCTTGGCAAATAAAAAAATCACTGACTGTTTTTTTTCCTCTGTATTTTTCTCAGTGCTGCCAGTGCTTAGTTTGTTTTTATGTGACTTGTTTTTGTTCACTCCTATACTGTTGTGGAGAGTTACTCTTCCTTCCTCCTAGAGCAGGCTTCAATGATATACTTTGGTCGACGAGGAGCAAGGATACCACCTCTCTTTTTCAGTAACAGGGATATGAATCCAAACCTCCAGCTTACAAAGGGGTATGCGCTCAGTGTCCTGGGTTTAGGACATCTGGTACATACCTTATAGCTAATCGATTTCTGTTGTAATGGATCAGGTCTTTCTCCATCAGGTACAAGTATTGCTCTGTGATTTCTAGATATTTTACATGGATATGTACTTATCACCGCCATTGTTATGAAACATATACAGTCATAAATGCCTCATAATTTGTTATACATTGTTAAAACTGAGTAAACATATTTGCAAAAAAAAATAATATTAATTTTGCACATAATAATACAATGCATTTCATGTCTAATTCTAAGGTTCACTTTAGTTAGCCATTCTTAGTCTACATGCTTCATAGATGGCCCTGGGGTTAGTATTGTACCCAGCTCATGAGGCAGGGAGAAGAAACTTTTCACCATTGGGTAGGAGGACAGATATGTTACACAAACCAACAGCAAAAGTACCCACCAGCTATTCTCTTTTAAGCAACTCTAACTTTTAAGATATTAGATAAGCTGATATCAACATCACAAGGAGCCTGTACACTTGTGTGCCATGATAATACCAGCCTATATGTGGTGGGATTTTTGGCTAGCAGCCTCTAAAAATGTACAAAAATATGTAAAAGAATCAGCTAATTAGCTGATGTCAGCTCATCAGAAAAAGCTTCAGATATTTGCTGATATCAGCTATCTATGCCAATCCAGGTCAGCTCAAACAAACATATGTGTTCATGAAAATTTTTTGCCAAAGACTGAAACTACTGGAATCTAACTTTATACATTGAAATAGTGACTATTTCTTTTGTTGCAGCTTGTGACCAGCTGGCCCTAGGAGTGGTTGCTATTTTTGGACCATCTCACAGTTCGTCCTCCAACGCTGTCCAGTCTATTTGCAATGCATTGGAAGAAGTACCGCATATTCAGGTCCGATGGAAGCACCATCCTCTAGATAACAGAGACACATTCTACGTAAACTTGTACCCAGACTATGCTTCTCTAAGTCACGCAATCCTGGATCTTGTACAGTTTTTAAAGTGGAGGTCGGCCACAGTAGTTTTATGATGATAGCACAGGTATGAGAGTTTTCCTTGAATTACATTTACTAATTTATACTCGTAACACCTAAGAACTTTACAGAATATGTCTTTTTTGTGTGCCCAGATTGTACTCTTCATGCTAATGAATTTGTAATATAGCAAAGTCAGTAAATCAATACTATAGTACTGTGTTTTCAGCAGCAAAAGTCATTTATTTTCATCATACTGTTAGTCCTTTAAAACTAACCTGTGTTTTGCCCATGCTAATGCTCTTGTCAAAAGCAGCACAAACTCACTTTTGCTTAATTAGGACAATCACCGAGTGCCTATCACATGAAAAAAAAGAGAGTCACCAGCTTCTACATGCCAGAAGGTGCTGGGTATTTTCTGTCCTGGCAGTTGAAGAGAGCAGTGAAGAAGTGAAGGAAAAGTGAGTATGGGAAAAGTATGCTGCTGAGAAGGAGAGCACTACAGGAGAAGTAGGAAAAAAGCACCGAAGTGTACTTACAGTAGTTCTGCACTCCATGTTTTCAGCAGAGAGTGGGTTAACGCTTACTTCACAGAAGGGTCCAAGCTCTGGAAAGATGTTACTCCTGGCCAACTCCCACCCCCTCCACACCCCAGCACTCCAGTGAGCACTGGAGGAACAGAGAAGAGAGCCAGTGACTGGCAGTCACTAGTTCTCTGCAAATTGAAGACTGAAAACAATCAGCGGTCTTTGAATGCTCAGTTGTCAGTGTAGAGCAAGAAGGGGACACCTGCAGCTGGAATCGGTGCTGCAGCCATCTACATGAGTATGATTTTTTTTCATTTCCCAAACGTCTCACTGAAAGTGTATCTAAAGGCAAAATCTTTTTTTGATAGATTAAGGGGGTGTTATAACCTCTCCCATTTGTTGTCATCTCCTGTCGTTGTCATTCCCTTCACCTCCTGTCCCAACGCCAAAACAGGAAGTGAAAGGAGATCCAAAAGTGAAGTAATCCCAGAGTGTCACAGGGTCACCAGAGCTAATGTCCCCATTGGAAGATTTTGAATGATGATAAACAGGAATAGTAGAGTAGAAAGGGTGAATCTCCCTAACAAACAGGTGATCTAATACTTCTCCACTCTATAAAAAAAAAAAAAAAAAACAGTAGTTACACTTTAAAGCAAACCTATTGCTTTGCCCTGCATGGTTTTTTTCTGCAAGTCAATTGCACAAAGTTTTGCAACAAAAATGTTAGTTTGGTATGAAAGACAAAATAACAGTTATGGTTTGATGTAACTTAACTTAATCTCCTCAAGCCATATAACTTAACTATAACTTGCTAATGCAACCAGTTGAAACATGGCTGTAAATACATTAATCATGTAGAGAACTTGGGCATAAATCTGCCAAAATTGAGCCTGGCCATCCCGAATTTACATTTTCATTTGTACAGAGAAAAGCTCATTTTAAGTCAAAGAGAATATTTCAGACATCAAATAAAATCTAATAGCGGATCTCTGGTAGAAAATGTATTTGGTGATTTGACCTTTAGATAATTAGAGAGAGATTCTGGTAACTCTTAAAGCAGTAGTAAACTCTTTTAATTCTGGGGGGGGGTCATCTTTCAGCTGAGCTGCATTTTTACCACACTCTCCCCACAAACCTTCTCCCCCTTGAAGGAAAGGAGGAAGGGAGGGGGTGGAAGAAATGAAGGAAAGGGTGAGTGGAAGGAAGGGGTGGGTGGAAGGAAGGAAGGAAGGAAGGAAGGAAGGGAGGGGTGGGTGGAAGGAAGGAAGGGGGTGGATGGAGGGAAGGAAAGGAGCGGTGGGTGGAAGGAAGGAATGAAGGGGCGGATGGAAGGAATAAAGGGAGGGGGTGGGTGGAAGGAAGGAAGGGAGGGGTGGGTGGGTGGAAAGAAGGGTGGGTGGAAGAAAGGAAGGGAGGGGTGGGTGAAAGGGAAGGGTGGATGGATGGATGGAAGAAAGGAAGGGAGGGGTGGATGGAAGGAAGGGAGGAGTGGGTAGAAGGAAGGTGGGTCACGTCCTCTGACGTGGCACGGACTGGATTTTGAGCAGGCACAAGGGGAGGGGTGGGTGTAAGGAAGGGAGGGAGGGGTGTGTGGAAGGAAAGGAGAGGTGGGGGTGTGGAAGGAAGGGAGGGGTGGGAGGAAGGAAGGAAGGAAGGAAGGAGGGTCGGACTTACATGACTAATTCAGATGCATCACAGTTGTCGCCTGCTGTGTTCCATTTCCCACCCACACATCCTCTAAAGTTGCACGGACTGGATTGTGGGTGGGCACAAGGGGAGGCAGAGCAGATCCAGCTTCTCTCCCCTCTTCTCCTATTGGTGCAGAGGATGGAGGGAGGGGCTGTGCACTAAGAAGAACACAGCAGGGGGCAGAAAGAAAATGGAATGACCAGGTATGTTCTGTTCAGTAATGGGGGCGGTGACAAGCAGCGATCTCCTGTATGGCTTTCAAAGAAGTGCATAGCCTCCTCTCCCTCCCATGGCTTCCAGATGCTTCATTGAAAGTCATACAGGAGATCACTGTTTGTCACCGCCCCCACTGCCGCCCATCCCACACACCCCTAGTTCCGGCACTGCTCGCCCCCCACCTTATTTCCACTTACAGGCAAGTGGATACTTTGAGGGCTGCAGGGATGTTTGGCAACTGTCCTCTGGGGGGGGTTCAGACCCCCCCTGACCCCCCCATCTACGCCCCTGTGCTAATATGCACTGCATATTTGCACATTGTGAAATACCTTAGAATGAAGGCCTCCAGCAGACACCACTGACAGGGCTTCTATTTTCGCCTGGTCTTCTGACTAGCTGAGCCGTGATTACGTAACTCCCAAGCATACCCGCGGGAGTTACAGGCCATGGCACAGTGCTCTGAAGGAATGGTCCAAGTATTCTGTTCCTTCAGAGCACATGCAATAGCTGCCAAAAACAGTGAATATCTCCTAAACGGTGCACATTTAGGAGATATTCATATCACCTGCAGGTAAGCTTTATGATAAGCTTACCTGTTGGTAAAGACCACAAAGCAGACTTTACTACTGCTTTAAATCCCATCATTGTTAGGAATAGTGTATCAGAAGTACAATTAAAAGTTTAATAGGAATTATTTTAAATCAGAGATCAAGATACCTGGAAATACAACTAGAACATGTTTTTATTCACAGAGTTTCACAGAGATTTCTTTATTTAAAAATGCAAGAAAATGTATGAAAAATTATCATGTTTGCAAAACCATGTAGTAGTGGGTAAGCGGCATGGGATATCAAGTAGTAATGAGTCCTGTGATTTCTGATGTTCACCTTGAAATGAAATGCCTATGCAATATAGTATTTATCAGGCCACACTCTTGACTTGAGCCAAACTCCAGCTTCATTGCAGCTTCATTATGGGTTGCATATGGATGCTTTGCTGTAAAAATTATCTTTATAACCGTAGAAAGCAAGAAAATACAGTATGCTGCAGATAATTCCTCCTCCATTATACCAATGCATTATGAGATTTTTTGATATGAACATTTTTTTAGACCATGTCAGAATGGGTGAAACAAAATAATGTCTTCTAAAATATTTTAGCTAATCCTGTCATCTGTTTCAACATATATAGGCATAGATAATAATATATTTAAAAATGTAAAAAAATACAGATACTCATGGCAACTCGGAATTCTTCTATCCACCTACTATAAACTGAAATCTGTTTGCCATGGGCTAGATTAATCAGCATTAGGATGTATGGAGTCTGTCATTGTGGACCTCTCCTTTTAAAAATGCTAATTCTCTGGCTGTTAGGTTGATCCAGTGACAGTCAAATCTGAGTATGACATAAAGCAAGTATGCAGATTAAAGCTGTGATACCTATCTGACTGTTCCTGGTGTCTCAAAGTATTGTAGGCAGACAGAGCCAGGCAATTTCAAAAGGAGGTCAGCATTGGCATTCTTTACAATTCCCACAATACAGGTTATCCTTAATAAACCCAATGGAGTAAATAAAAAAACTGATTGCAGGTGAATAAAATGACCAAAGACTTTGAAAAATTAATAATTTTGATTATTTTTTTCAATAGGTCTTATTCGATTGCAAGAGCTCATTATGGCCCCTGCTAGATACAACATTAGACTAAAAATACGTCAGCTTCCACCAGAGTCTGAAGATGCTCGGCCACTCCTGAAAGAGATGAAGAGGGGAAGGGAGTTCCGCATTATCTTTGACTGCAGTCATGTAATGGCAGCTCAAATTCTCAGGCAGGTGGGTACCAACATTATTTTATACTCAGCTAACTAGATATTAAGGTAAAATTAAGGTGGTAGTGTTCTTAATTTGCTTTTGCACAGTACTGTGCTTATTAATTTTTACACCAAGAGTCCGTTGGGATTCATCACATCCCACCATATGTTCTGTATCATCTATTAGCAAGTGTTAATCTCTGCTCTTTCTATTACCAAGTACATGTTAAAGCAATACACAAGGCTAGGAGTTTGGTAATTATTTTGCTTTGCACCTATAATTTTTTTCTCTGAACATTACCTCTTTTTGATTTAACATTTTAGCTTTAAGCATGTTTAAAGCTTTGAAAAAATACAACTACCTAACAGTTTTGCTGTGTAAACTACTATTTTTTAAAGTAAATTTAATAATAGTCATCCACTATAATGGTATGCAAAAAAGGCCAGTAGAAGGAACAGGTCAACCAGGTATCTCCCCTCCTAACAGGGGTACAATAAAGATCTCTCTTCTATGGATAATTCTCCCCTCATATATGGCCACTGTATCCTCCAAAAGGACCTTTTAGCGGTATAGCTGGCTCTGTATGTGGAACTCAACAACCATATAAAGCAACCATAGTGCAGCACATTTTTGTAAAAACTCATTAAAAATGTATTGAAATACACTCACATGGTAACAGTAATAGAAACTGCACTATAAAAATAGTGGTAGAGCTGTAACAATACACCGAGCTGTGTCTCCTACTATGCTGACGGTGTTCCGGCTCTAGTGTCACCTGGCTCCTCCCCACACGTATCGTCATGCACCATGTGACTTTGAAGTGCTGCTCTATGGTCGCTTTATATGGTTGTTCAGTTCCACTTACAGAGCCAGCTATACCGCTAAAAGGTTCTTTTGGAGTATACAGTGGCCATATATGAGGAGAGCATTATCCATAGAAGAGAGATTTTTATTTTACCCCCGCTAGGAGGGGAGATGCCTAGTTGACCTGTTCCTTATATGGGTCCATACATGAAGGTGAGGATCCACCTATATTATATGTTCACCATGGTGGTGTATATCAGTTAAAGACTTACAGCACCGGGATTTGTGGCTCACTCTCCAGTAGAAACATGGCTATTTCCATCAAGATTTGCTGAAGAGTTGTTTTTCCTTCATTTTCTGTCTTTTGGACTTTCAGGTTTAAGTTTCACATATGTGGTTTAGGCCTTTTAGTTATGGTTTTTTTTTATGTTTTAATGTTTTTGGAGCAGCGCAGCACTACACACTAGTTTTATATTTTTCACACGTCATGAACACACATTTTATGTGTTTGCAGCAGCTTGTATTCATTTGTGTTCTATTATTGATATATTTGGCAGCACACAATTTTTTTCACTTTTCTTATAAACCTATGAATGAGGCCTTATCATTTACTTAAGCAAGTTGTTAATTTTGTATTTTGTGGCATAACCTCTTACCTGGAGACCCTACCAGTAACAGCATTTCCTGTTGCAGGCTGACACTGTTAAGCCATTGCCTTACAATTAGCAGCAGTGGTGTCAGCCTGCCCGTGCAAGTTTCTTGTTTGATCATTAGTCTGCCTATGATACACAATTCAAAAGCCAACTGAAAGAGTACACACAACAGGCTGAGTAACTTCTAATTGTAAAGCAGTAGCTTATCACTGTCAACCTAAAACAGGAAATGCTGTTACTGGCAGGATCTCCAGGTAATAAACCTTGCAACAGGTTAAAAAAAATGCTTACAAAATCTGTATACAGTAGGCATGATGACGTGATGCCATACTGAAAACAGATTTTGGGTTTACAGACACTACAATGCCATCTTATTTTCCCTTTTTTTGTAGCGTTGCTATAATTTTGAAAATTAGCAGAAAATATTTCAATTCTTACAAATCATGGGCATGTTGAACACACATGTACTTGTGTGATTGTCTCAAGGCCTTTCTCTTCATAAATACTTTTGCATAGTTATCCTTTCGATAACCCCCCTCCCATTATCCCTGCATGCCCCCGAAGTCCTATAATCACCAGTCCAGGCACCTGCCAGATTCACAGCCTCAAGTGCAAACTCTCTCAACCAGGTCTTCACTTTTTCTGTGCATGAATGGTAAAATCCTATTTATTCCTATGGAGAGAACACTGGGGAAAGTGCATGTAGACATTTACATTGTAAAGCGCTGAGCAAACCGTTGGCGCTATATAAATCCTGTATAATAATAATATAATAATAACTGGCTGAAAAAACTGGAAAAGATCAGCATAATGAGATGCAAAAAATAATTAAAAAAAAGAAGCAATAACAAGAATTAAGGGGGAAATGTAGCAATTATCTATAACACAATAGTGCTTTAGCAATTTAAATGGCAATACATGACATGTTAGGATTTAATGTGGTACTAAACCCAGAATCAAACATTTATTATATTGCAGCTTATCATTTCCTAGATGTAATAGCTGAATTCATTTTCTATTTTTTAGTCTTTCTTTCTTCTGTTTTCACCCAGTGATCTAGCCAGTAAGTCTGTAATTTTTCAAAAGAACAAGCTCTCGAGCACAATGTATCAGTTACAAAGATGAGGCAAACCAATTACCATTAACGGGGTGGTTACAGTGGTCAGATTTTAAATATTTGTGTACCTTTGTTTTCCAAAATGCAGTGTTAGATGGACTAGCAGACATAGATACACTAACAAATTGAAACCAAACTTCAGTGTTATCTGGAGCTTGGTGTCAATTTGTTATTGTATCTATATTAGTAGTCCATCTAACACTCCCCTCCCCCCCAACACTGATAATGCTGCTCTCCAAAGGTGCCTTTTGTACTCCTTCACCTAAATTGGTGTCTGTAGAATACAGGAGGTGTGTTACTGGCCAGATCACCTAGTGAAAACAAGGGAAACAATTCTAAAAATAAAAATAAAACTAAATTGGTAAGCTGCAATATGTTTCATTTTGGGTTCTGGTTTCAATACCGCTTTAAAGTTGCTTTAAAAGTACAAAGTATTATCAGGGACATCTTGATGCCATAACAAGCAATGCATTTAGTTGTTTATGTACTTTTTCATAGTTTGCATCTATAAATTGTAAAAAAAAAACATAATAAAAACTGATTGAGATTTGGATAGCTTGTGCATTGCTAAATTCAATTTATCTTTGCTTCCAAAATAGCTTGTCCACTTGGGGTTCCTAAAAGGCTTTACTTGATACTAGATATTTCTTTTTTTTATGTTCAATAGTTTTTATTGAAAAGATTTTGTCAAAACATTGTATTTCAATACGGTTCATGCAGATATAATGGTATAGATTAGTGTGTTATAAGCTCCCCATCAGTTGGCTGGGGGCAATATATAAGTATGTCGCATAGACATGAGAGGTATGTTTTCTTTGGTCTGAACCGTGATGAGGTGGGTAGGTTATATTGAAGGGGTAAGGCATAGGAATGTGATAAATGGTGGGGGGGAAGGGGAGGGGGGATTGCACCAGTCTAGGGGTGGGAGTCTTGGTCGTTAACAATTAGATTATCAGGATTTTATGGAACAATTTGGATTTTGTAGCCAAAGAGACCATTGAAATTTAAATGAGTGATAGGTAGAGTTATTCAGGGCTGATCTTCTTTCCATGTCACATTGAAAGTTAAGGTCTGTTATCAGTGAGTTAAGGGAGGGGGTTTTAGAAGTATTCCACAATTTGGTAATATTAAGCTTGGCTGCCGCTAATGTGTGGATAATGATGGTTCGAGATTCTTTCGGAAAATTGTCAATTCCAATGTGAAGGAGGGCTAGAGCAGGGTTTGGGGTTACTGAGGTTACTGTTAGTGTTGAGAGCAGATGGAAGACGTTATTCCAGAAAGATCTGAGTGATTTACATGTCCATAATATATAGAGTGTAGAGCCTATTTCACCGCATTGTCTTCAGCAAGAATGTATAGCAATAGTTTGACGGGTGTTAAGTACCATTGGTGTAAAATTTTCATATATGATTCCCAATGGGAACTGCATTTAGAAGCTTTATAGGTTATTTTAAAGGTTTTTTCCCATGTAGTGGTGTTGTTGATTGTGAGAGAAGTTTCTCCCAATTGATTAGAGAAGTAGTTTGTAGGGTGAATTGTGTATTTATTGTGCGTGTAGAAAGTTGAGATACCTTTTCTTGGGTATTTTGTTTTGTTGAAAAGATGGTATGCGGTGGTAGGAATGTTTGAGAGAAGCGGGATATTTGCTGTTTGTAGGGAGTGAGCTATTCTCAGGTAGGTGAAATATTCAGTGGTGGGTAAGTTAAATTTCTTTTGCAGAGTCGGTAAAGAATCTAGTTTATGATCTGTGTAGAGGTCTTGTATATTAGATAACCCATGCTTGCCCACTGTAGCAGGTTTAAGGAGGGTGTAGTGAAGTGTAATGTATTGAGTGGGGTAGGTATCTGTTTGGTATCTGCAGAATTAGACAAATAGAGATCATACCAGGCTTGAAGGGAAACCTTAATACATGGGTGTTTAAGTAAGAGTTTGGTTTGGGGCATTTGTGGTAAGAGAAGTATGTTACGTGGAACTAGTGGGTACAGTGGAAGTGTTTCCATGATGGACCAAGATTTTTCTTCAGTTGGATGCCACCAAAAATAAATTTGGTCAAGAAGAGTGGCATTATAGTATGATTTTAGGTGTGGGAGACCTGCTCCTCCTCTGGATGTTGGACGTATTAAGAGATTTGTGGTGCATCTGGGTTTTTTAGAATTCCAGAGGAATTTGGAAAAGATTGCTTGTAATTTAGAGAAGAAAGTATTGGGGATGGGGAGTGTGCAGAATATGTATCGAATTTTGGGTAGTATGTACATTTTTAGAGTTGCTACTCGTCCTAGTTTAGATAGTGTTGCTGTGCAGAGGTTGGTACATTCTCATGGTATGGTTTCTGTCACGGTATGGGAGCCTGCCAATTATTAATCCCCTTATTAATGCCTTGTATCACATGCCCTCAGCGTCCTGCTCTGTATTGTTCCAAT